TGGCTGAAGCCCAGGCTGTGCCGACGCCAACTCAGACGGTCCCTCGGCGGAAGTTCTGGTTGTGCCATACCTTCCGCTCGAGCGTTGTTCTCTGAATACTGTCACTGAATCAACCGATGAACCCCCTTCTATTAAGTCGAACATAGTCTCTGGTGCTTTCTGACTGGGAAGGTTAAGAGGGTTTGGTCGCCTCGTTGAGGCGCTTATACTTGCGCGCTCCGGAGGTGTTCGATATTATGTTCGCCCGGGCGTTGGTTCTTGATACCCCATGCTGTACGACGCGAACGGCTGTGCCGTCGCTTCGGCTGATATAACCAATATTTTTGCCTGGGCGTTCACAATTCCTGCAATATGTACCGATGATATATCATTGTCAGTGGGCTCCGCAGATGACATGTGTAAAAAGAGATCGCGCCGTCAAGCATACACTAAGGTAGCACTGAAGGGGACGAGGCCGGCCCGCCCGCCGACGCACGCGCGCGCGCCGCAGGCTCGCTCCTGTTCCGTTTCCCTAGAGCCAAAATACATGTATATAGCTGCGGAAGCAGAAGAAGTCAGTCCGCACATCAGACGGACGGCGCGCGCAATGAGAGAGAACAGGCAGGGCGAAAGAATGGTGGTGCGGAAGGGGCGCATTGACTGCCCAGCATGTGGCCGTTTTGGAGGCCTCTTGGAGAGGCCGTCCTGGAGGCCCCTGAGGGCCTGGAGAATCTCCCAGCGCCCTGAAAAGGGCCCGCCGGCCCCAAAGACCGACGTCGGACGCCGGGGGGGATGGGGGAATGTTCAACAAAGTTGACGCCCCCAGGCCCGGGGACCCAGCTAGTGGGTATAGTATAGAAACCCTCTGGATGTGTTTTGCGTTCTGACACGGATCAAAGAATCCGAACCAGAATTGGCATGATGCTTCTGGTTCGCACGAACTCCTAAATCACGGAACCTCAGGATAGTTCAGCTTCCTGGAGGCGAGGAGGACAAAGGTGGCAACTTTGCGATGACGACGACGACGACGGCGACAAGGGGGAGCGGGAGGAAGAGCACGGAGAGCTGACGAAGACATCCGCCCACCCCTCCGCCATCACTGCCCGTCACCATCTTCATCGCCAGCAACATCAGCAGCATCAACAGCACCATCGCCATCGTCATGTATTAGTCATTGGCATCATCCTTATCAGCATCATCGTCGTCATCGTCATCGGCATCGTCATCATCAGCAGTATCATCATCAGCATCACCGTCATCTTCACCATCATCACCATCATCACCATATGATGATTATTCTTCAGTATCAGCATCGTCATCATCATCATCACCAGCTTCAAAATCGTCATCGTCGGCGGCGGCGTCGGCGTCGACATCATCATGGCCATCACCATCAGCATCATCATCATCACCACCACAACCACCAACACCATCAACATCATCGCCATCATCAGCAGCATCACCATCATCATCGTCAGCATCATCTTGTTGTCCTCGTCCTCTTCTTTCTCCCTCCCTCCAGCTCCCTTACTCTCAATTTCCATGTCCCCGTCACTCCCCCCCCCGCCTCGTCTCATTTTTCTCCTCCCACGTGCGCATCTGCCTCCGTTTGCCCTCTCGTTTGGCCGTAACGGTGCGGGTGCGGAGAGCGATAAACATGATATACTGACCCTGAACAAAGTATCGCAACAGGACGACTGAACAAAACCGAGAAACCGATGGACCGATAAACCCATAAACGCATCATGAACTGAGAACCCGACGCGCGGGCGTGGGCACGGGCGCAGTGTTTTACCATCTCACGAGTCTATCGACAGACAAACTGATATAATAAAATATCGTTTCAACGGTCAACCAACCGACGTGCCAAAAAAATGAAATATAGTGTCAACACATCGGTGTAGTATGTTATGATCGTGTCCTCTGGCTGCAATCTAATTAAACATGTCGGTATAAGTGCATGCATAGGTACATCGGCATACGACTATACTAAAATCATAGACGCGTTTTTCGCGCGCTGAGGTTCAGCAAGTCACTCGTTGATCCTTCATTTCCTATTGCCACCTCTAAGCACTATTATGGGGCCGTCAGAGGGGGCCTCGTGGGCGTACGCCTGAACGGCCTCCTTGGGAGGTCTCTCGGGGCCGGTTTCGGCCCACCCTGGGGGCCTCTCATGGGCCGCCTGAAGTGGCGAGCCCATCTTGGTCTGCTTGAGGCTTCCGTCGGCTGTCTGGAACCTTCTGAGGGCACCCTTCGGCGGTGGACAAACCTCCCTTTCGTAAACCACCCTTTAGTGAAAACGGCTTGGGACCGACACCGACGGAACGGGACCCGCAGAAATGACGGCCGCGACGCCCTCTCGCGAACCGAAAACGGCCAATTCGCTAATCGACGCGTCAGTTTTGGACGCCCGAAATGGGTACGGCAAAAATGGGTACGATGCCCAACAACAGATGCTGTCCCAAACCAACAGCGGCCACTGTTGGGCAGGCGGCCTTCTGCCTCAACTGTACACAGGCAACGGCCACACCGACAGCGAGTACTGTTCAAAATGGACAGAAACTGGGGAAACCGAAAGGTGCAGATACCGCTACTCCCTGGACCTCTGCTGGGGTGCGTTCTGACCAGAATCTCGAGGCGAATCCAGCGGTGGCGACGAGAGCCGCCCAGGAGGCCCAAAAAGGGGAAAACGAGCGAAGGGTAGAGGTATGGGTACCTTTCCCTCCTCTGAGGAACTGCTGTTGGGCATCGTACCCATACTGTCCGTACACATTTCGCTCGTGCCGATGTCAGTGCAGGAAGTCTATCAGCCTCCCAACCCCGGGCAGCACGCCGTGGCCCTGTCGTCCCGCTGCCGGCCGCTCTTAGAGGGCCACCTCCTGGGCCGCTCTCGGAGGACCTCTCGAGGCTCTGCTCGGGCGACATCTGGGGGGCCGCCTGCGCTCTTCTGGGAGCTGCCGCTACCGAGAAGGGAAAGGCACGTGCGCTAAAGGTTACGGGGGAATATACAGAACCCACGTATTCTACCTGTTGTGGGGTCCCCAAGGGCCTCGTGAGGACGAGGAGGCATGTTCGTTCTGAACTGTGCACTTCCACTCCAGCCTTGAACACGTGGCGGCCAGGCTTGGCAACGCACGGAGCCAGGAGCCAAAAACACAGCAAGAGGGCTTGGGACGGTACGACGACCGCTCCCACGGCTGCCAAAAGCTCGGCCGCTGCACTGCTGATGGGCCTGTTTTCCACCAGCACCATAAGCTGGAGGGGGGAAGGAGGTGAAGGATGAGGAGGAGGATGAAGAGGGGGAAGAGGAGGAGGACCTCCTCCCACTCCTACGTACGGTGGTGGCGGTGGAAAACAAGCCCGCCGACTGCTGAAGACGCCCAACAAGGCATGGAACAAATAGCGCATCGATGCCGATCCGCGGGGGGTGTCTCACCGCACCGCTCCGCGCAAACGGGATGCACGTGCGTCACGGCAACAGGCGGAACACATGCGGTCAGCGAGGGCTGGAGTTAAGTTCTTTCAAAGAATGAGCCACGCATGGACACGTACAAATATATATACATATATATATATGTGTAGATATATAATAGAGGTAACAATAATAAAAAATAATAATAATAGTGAAAATAATAAGAATAACAATAAGAATAATGCTAGTAATAATGATAAAAATAACAACGCTAATAATAATGTTGGTCCAAAAACGGTCGTGTCACGAGTATGCTGAAGTGACACGTTGCACGACCGCGCACGCTGTACAAGCTGTAGCCGGATCGATCGGCCATGTGTGCACGAGCCGGTGGGTCCTGCAATGACAGCCGCCGAGCATGGGCTAAAGACAACTGTGCCTGGCCAGTGGGACTGACGGGCAGGCGGGCGAGACGATGGGAATGTCCAGCCTGCTGAGCCAATCTGCGGTGCTCGCGGACCCCTGCTCGGAGCTCGATGGCTCGCGCGGCCGGGAGCGGCGGGCAGCGCGCCATGATCCAGTCTCGGCACGTTGGTCGCCGACCGGCGGAGACACGAGAGATCAAACGGACTCGCTCCCAGAAATCTCTCCCGCAAGCCGGGCAGACGGAAGAGGGAAACCGGTCTTGGATCTCGAGGATGGCGCCGCGCTTGGCTCTCTGATGAATGGCCAGAGCACGCTGTGAGCAAAAGGCCGCTCCACAAGAGCACGCAACACGCTGGGGCCCGCCAGAAAATCATGAAAACCATCCGGCAAGAACGGCCGCAACAACTCGCAGTCGCGAGCCGCTGCAGTGACCCATCCAAGTGGTCGCCCCTGCGGTCGCGCGTACAGGAGGGCAACAAGCGCGCGCGGGCGATGCAACACAATGCGGCAGAGATATCATCACCTCATCCGGGCTAGCCGAGCTTGTCGCGGATCTCGCGATCGGTGTGCTCCGTGCGACAGAAACGAAGCTCGTTGGCAATGCGTCTTAGTAGTATCGTCATATATACATTGTTGAGCTTGCGGAGCTGGCGACGGGCGGGAACGAGCACCTCCGCGCCGAATGGATCAACAAGAGACATCGCATGAACATCAATGCGCGTGTGGCATCTACACGTGGACGGAGTCGAACACCTTCCATGACAGGGGGGCGCACGACTTCAATGTGCGAGCGGCCTTTGTGTTGACGTCCGCCGTACATGAGTCGTGGAGGGATGTGAACGTGCCCAGGTGCTTGTAAGACTCAACGACGTGTATGCACAATTCGCGTTGAGGCACGGAAATGCCCAACGTGCCGCCGTCTTGCCGACGAGCTTCGCAACGAGTCTCGGCGCCCCTGCCACGGTATACAAGCAGCGCTTCAGTCTCCCCGTTAGCAACGTTGATTTTCAGGTGCACATGTTTCGCACACAAAGAAGACGATGAGCAACAACTGGTCAATGTGCCGGACTAGTTCCTCGGCTGACTGCGCAACTATAGCCAAGGCCTCGTCGCCAATGAAAGCTGCATCCAAAACGCGATGTGACGATGCTGCCGGCGCACCCCCAAAAGCGCCGTCGGGGACCTTCAACTCGAGGGAGATGAGAGCGCGTTTGGCCTCCCACGCAATCATGTCCAGCGCGATCCCGTACGCGCCGTTGAAGCGAAGAGCTCCGAGCCTGCATCCTTGCCAGCCGGCCCAGCTCGCGACGCGCGTTGGCAGATCCGCCACTGCCGCCCGCGACCCTTCGCGCAGCGCCCTCGCCATGGCGGAGGTCGCGGCGTCGAGGCCCCATTGCTGCACCAGCGGGCCCCGCTCGTCCAAGCACTGGAGCACCCAGTCGGCAGCGTCTGGGGCGACCTGGAGAACAAGAGGCTTCGGCGATGCTTAAAGCGCGCCGCGTTGCCCCACCCGTGAATCAGCTGCCGAATGACACGGCCGACAGACTTGGCGAGGTCCATGGACAGAACAAGGGTGGAGAGCTTGGACTGCGCAGCGTAATCGATCATCGAGTGATTGACGCGAGGCGCCATATCAGTTTTTTCTCTTCGGTACGGCTCCGAATTGGGGTTCTGCTTGATGCTCAACGTAGGCTCAGTTAGCGTCTTGCTGCAGAACTCCGGCGAGGCCTTTGCTGGCGTGGTCCGCGAGGAAGATGTTCTGGTACTCGTTGGTCTCACACGGGCCCCCCATCCTTTTGACCGCCTCCTGCGAACGCCCACCACACCACTGAGACGGCCACGCGCTGGTCTGGTGCACGCGCTGTTTCACGGCAGCGCACTTGGTGGCAATCGCGGATTCGCCTGCTTGAAGCAGCTCGGCGGGAATGCCATCGTAACCGACCCCCTTGTTGCGCCCGAGGGCTCGGTAGGCAATTCGGGTGGCCTCGGGGCCGACATCGAGGCTCGAGGTCAAGCCGAAGTTGCTGCCCGGCTCCGGTCGAAGAGCTGAGCGTGGAACGACTTGTCCTTGGAAGACCGTGGCGACGTGCTGCTGCCACACCTCGTTCACCTCCGCGGTAGTGTTGGTGAGAGTGCCATCGCCGCGGCGCAGGCATTGGCTCGGCTTGGAGGCGCGAGTGCCCAGAGCACGGAGCACGGCAAAGGCTTGTCGCCCGCCGCGCTGTCCAGATACACCCGGCGGCCATCGTCGACGATAGGTTCGACAGCCATCTGCAACGAGAAAATGGCGGCAGTGACGTTGGCTTCGCCACGAAGTGCACGGCGGGCGTCTGCCCAGAGGCCCGTGGGGCACGGGAATGGGACAGCGAGAGCGGGCACCTGTTCCTTCCACGAGGGCCAGGCCACAGCGAGAAAACGCTGTCGGCGGTGGACGGCGGCTCGATGACGGGCACGGCGCAAGGGTGCAATATGCTGAACTATCTCCCTTGCGCGCGGGGTGAGCCACGCTTGCCGCGGTCGGCGCGCCGGCGGGCCAAAGCAATGCGCGGCCGCCCAGCGCGTCCACGAGTCGAGGAGCTCAACGTGGCCATCTGGGTGCACGGCCTCAGGCGCTTCAGGAAAGCGCCACATCAACTGCCGAAAAGCGTCGCGCAGACCGGCGTCTTGCAACCTGTACTTGTTCACGGAAAAACGCTTCGCGATGCCGGCGCTCGCGGGTTGAACCGGAAGCATCGCGCGCATAGCTACGACGTTGTGGTCTCCCATGGCGACATATGAGATCCCTACCATAATTAGGCCCGCACTGCACAATCCCGTGAAATACGAAAGCCAGCACTGCAATGTAGTCGATGCGATGCGTGGCGCCGAAAGTCGATGTCCAAGCGCGGCCTCCAGGGCCCCGTGAATTGGCCAACTTCAAATTGAACTGCAAACAAAAGCACGAAGACGACTACCATTAACATGATCCTTCTCTGGTCGGCTCGGCCCACGCAACGAAGACGGAGTGGAGCCAAGTCGGCCGTTGGCGTCAATAAGCGCGACCCATGGGATCGCGCACTTGCCAGGGAGACGGCGCGCATGAGAGCAGACAGGTCCGCCCACCATTGTAGACGGGCGCTTTCATGAGACATGGTGCGAAGAGAATGCGCAACAAGAAAACCAACCTCGAGTCCAGGACGGGCGACGATTACGCACAAAATCCGAGGAGACAATGGGTGCCAGATATGCGTGCGCCAGACGCGTTTTACCCAGCACTGGACGCCAAAGGAACCGCCAGGCGCGGCAGCAGCAGCCAGCATGGCGACATGCTGGCCTTCGGTCTGCTCCGAGCTCTGCGAGCGACCCTCCTGCACGCCGATCGCGAAGTACTGGCAGTCGTGGAACTGCTTCTCGAGGAGTGTAGTTGTGGCGCGCATGCACACCCCACTCGCTTGGGCGTGAGACGTGGAACAGTGGAAGGCGTAGCGGATGCCACTTCCGGCCCTCCCCCTCCGCGGCGTTCCGGGAAAACCATGAGACTCGCTGAACTTCGCAGTTGCGCGTCCCCGTTCCGCGGCGTTCCGTAGTGCGGCTCCGCTGGGACTTCGCATTAAACTTCGTCACAGACCATTTCCCGGGCTGCTTGCCGTTCAAACGGGTCTGTGAGACAGGAGGTGGAGGCTGCTTGCCGTTCGCGCGCAGGTGGGGCGCCTTCTCCAGGGCGCTCTGGAACCTGGCCAGGATCTCGGAGGACTGGGCCTTCGCCTCCGCCACCGCCTCCGGCCCCGTGGACCCGCGCTGGGCCAACTGCTCGACTGCGGAATGTAGTTGGGCCGCCAGCTCGTCCATTGTGGAGCGAGGGCCTTCGGCGTGGGCCGAAATCTGGGCCTCCAGATCCTGCGCGTCCTCCTGGAGCTTGGACACTTAGCTTTTGGCCGCGCCCACCGCTCGCTGGGCAAGCTGCACGCTCTCCCCGGCAGCCGCCTGCCTGGCCTTGGCGCGACTCAGCGCAGCACGAGCGCCATCGAACCGCTTGCCGAGGGGGCGAAGATCGCCAAGTTCCTGGCAGCCTGAGCAGACCCACGCGCGAGGCGGCTGACGCTGTGGCGAGCGGGCGCCCACGCAATGCCAGTTGCCTGATGGGCCCCTCTTCCACTCGGAGGTGGAAGCGATTTTCCAGACCATGAGCCCCGCTGCGCCATGAATCAGCACCCTGCTGAAGCGGGAGACGCAATCAAGACGGCGCGGAAGAGCTGAGGGTCAGCTGGAAGCTGAACGTAGTCCTACAACTGCCTCAAGCTATGGCTCAAGCTTGAGCCAAAATGTCCTTAAGCCAAATGGATACGGATGTGTATATATATAGATATGCGCGTGAACGGGTGAGATCGAAGTGGAGAGGAGAGCCCCCACCACCAAGAAATCGGTTTCGGTTTCGTGTTCGCGCGCGCCGTGCGCGCGGGCGGGGCGAAGCTGCGTGGACGGGCGAAAAGTGCCCCGCCTCTGGCTGAGGCGCGGCCGGGCCACATGTTTCCTGTCCGGGGCCGGGTGGCGCGCGGTGTCCGGCCGGTGTCCCGCCACTGTCCCGTCAGTGTCCCGATGATGATGATGATGATGATGATGATGATGAGACAGCTGGTGATGATACTGATGTTGATGATGATGATGATGGCCATTGCGGTGATGATGATGGTGTCCCGATGATGATGATGCTGGTTTGCTGATGATGGTGCTCGTCGCCCGATGATGCTGATGATGTTGATGATCATGGCGATGTTGATGCTGAAAAGATAATGCGAAGATAAGATGAGAATGGTGATAATGGTAAGCGGATGTTGCTGATGGTGAAGTTGATGATGCTGATCTTGATGGTGATGATGGTGATATTGATGATGGTGATCCGATGTTGGTGAGGTTGATGATGTTAACGATGACGATGATGTCCAAATGATGATGATGGTGAGGATGATGATGATGTGTTGATGATGAGTTTGATGACGGTGGCCCGATGATGATGATGATGCAGATGTTGATGATGACGATGGTGTCCCGATGGTGATGATGGGGGTGATGATAGTGACGATGATGCTGGTGTCCAGATGATGATGCTGATCATGATGATGACGATTTTGCCGATGATGGCGAGGATGCCCCGATGATAATGATGCTGATGGTGTTGTTAAGAATGATGATGATGATATGATGCTGGTGCTGATGGTGGTGATCCGATGATGATGATGACGGTGTCCCAATGATGACGATGTTGATGATGAGGCTGGTAACGATGATGATGTCCCGATGATGATGTTGATAAGGATGATGACGATGGCCATGGTTGTGATAATGGTGGTGTCCCGATGATGGTGTTGCCGATGATGCTGATGTCGCTGATGATGATGACGTCCGGATGATGATGATGTTGGTGGTCCTGATGATGTACATGATGATGGGATGGTGAGCTGATGAAGGATGACGAAGATGATGGTTATGATGGTGACACGATGGTGATGACGATGAGATTGATGATGATGCTGTTGATGATGATCACGATGATGATAATTGTGTCGCGATGATGATGGTACTGTTAATGATGATGACGATGATGGTGCCACGATGATGATGTTGAAAATGAGGATTGGGATGCGGTGATGAAGATAAGTTTGGTGATGGTGAACCGATGATGATGATGACGAGTATGATTATGATGGTGCCCCGATGATGCTGATACTGGTGACGATTATGATGGTGACGACGGTGACGGTGCCCCGATGATGATGAGGTTGATGTTGATGTTGATGATGATGCGGATGATGGTGTCACGATGATGGTGATGTTGACGATGTAGTTCATGCGCGTGATGAAATGATGACGATGATGATGATGGTATTCCGATGATGATGATGATGGTGTCCCGATGATGATGATGATGTTGATTCGCATGGTGACGATGATGGTGCCCTCGATGATGATGATTGTGAGGATGACGATTATATTGATGATGATGGCGATGAGGTCATGATGGTGATGGTGAGGTGGTGATGATTGATGACGTGAATGACGATGATGTTGGTGATGATGATGACGTCGATTGCGAGATCGATTGCGGTACAGATAGTGGAATCGATAGCGAGACCGAATGTGAGATATATTGTGGGGCCCGTAGTGCAATCGATGTGAAACCGATAGTCAGATCGATTGCGATATCTATCGAATGAGATAGACCGACCGATATCGATTGTGAGATCGACCGGGCGAGATCGATCGAACGAGACCGATAGTGAGATCGACAACGAGAACGATCGAGTGAAACGTGCCCCCCCCCCCCCCCCCTCCCCAACCCCTTTATCGCCCGAAAGGTGGTCGTATAGGTGTAAATACATATATACATATATATATATATATATATATACTATATATATATATGTATATATATCCGCCAACCCTGCGCGTGACTTAAAATTAACTTAGGTGAAGCTCTGCTTC